ACCGTATACGTACTGTTGTACAAAAGATACTGTATCCCTTATTATACTGAAAGTGGGAAAAACAATTTATAATGCGAGATTGAGAGAGTATGTATGTGAGGAGCATGTTGATGTGTTCTGACTATGGTGTTATGTATTAGCAAAAGTTTATGTGGATCTGGAAATTTTACCTTGGAATTTCCTTGTATCACTTCTTACTTTTGTAAGAAGAACCTCACTGTTGTATGGTTTTATCTCTTTGATGGCCTTATTTTGTGTGACTCAAACATTTGGGAAGAACCTCTGTACCTCGGGTTAATGCAAATTTTTAACTGGGTAATTAAGCAGTCAATAAACTCACCATTTTGAAAATTATTCCGATTAATGGTGGTGGTCATAACTTGTAATAATAAATACTGTAGAGACAGTCCTTGATTTACAAAAGAGTTCTGTCCCTGAAAACTTTCATCAATTATTATTTTTTGTCAATCAGAGCCCATTTTCTCATAGCTTCCCGTTACGTATACTGTACTGTATACCGTATGTAGGCTAAGATATGTTCCTACAAAAAAGTCTTAAAATACTACAGTACTGTATGCAGTACTGTGCAATAATAATCTTATGATTATGGGAAATCATAGTGCTTGAAACTTACCGAGAAACTGCAACACTACTTGTGATGCAGTGTAAGACTATGAGGCCCAGCCATAACATATAGCTTAAGATGTTTTGCTTTCACTGGATCATTTTTGATGACATCACTCTTAAGATAGTAAACACATCACCATTCCCTCAGTGAAAATATCTTGAGTAAGCATCTTGCCACTGCTTCATCTAGTCACCTTGTGAGCCATGGTAACTAAAACATAACATGCATATTTTTTAGTTTAGTTAACCAATCTCAATACAGTGCAGTCCCGTACAGTACTGTACGTATGTTGTATTTAGTTTAAATGTCTTTAAAAATTGACCAGGTCTGGTACAGGAAGCCCTGAGATGCCTGTGTCAGCACCTTAGCAGCTTCCAAGGCTGGAAACAAAATAGCAACAGCAAATATTTTAACTTCAGATTTTTCTTACGTAAATCCACAACTGGGACAAGAAAAAAATCCGAAATCTGGATTTTTGTCAACTGGATCTTAATAAATTGGGGACTGCCTGTATACAGTACTGTATAATATAATAACAAAGAAATTGCCTATCTATAAATATAAAAGGATGTGTCTGTCTGTCTGTGAGTGTGTATGTCTGTCTTTTCCAGCCAATGCTCCAAAATGGATCTGAAACTTTTCACACGTTACATTGGTCCCAAGGTTGTGCACCTTGGTATCACTATTGACCACGGACCCCCGGGTGGTCCAGACAAGAACAAAAAATCATCCCCAACTGAGATATTACTAAGGCAATTGTGGGAGATGGTTACTCGTGTCATAGAGGGTAAACTGTGACGGTCAATTTTATACAGTACAGTACAGGTACATATATTCCTAATCCAAATGAAGCCGGGCCATTTTGCTAGTAATATAATAAAATAGGGAGGTGGTTTTCTATACCACAAGAACCAACCTAATCAGATGGAGACATCTGGTTATGTCATGTTTTTTATTAACATCTGGGAAATAGCTTATTAAGTGTATGAGATAAGGGGGGTTGTGTGGTAGTGTTAGGAGGGTTTAAGAATAAGATAAAAATGTCTTGGAGAACAATAGATATCAAATAAGAATCTCAGAGAGACATAGGTATCAAAGTTCAGGTGTGAGCCCCAGTCTGGGTGTTGTCACCATGGACGGACAAGGATGTTACCTCACACGTCCTACTGTTCCCTTTATACACAACAAAGGTAAACCACAGACTTTGGACATTGCAAAACAGTAGAATTGCATGCTGTCACAAAATACTTTTCAGAATTCATAGGAACATTCTCAGATGTCTCAATATTTGACAGGTTCCAGTTCACCCATGCAAATAATAATCTTGAGCTCTTGTTTACATAGATACATGATATTACTCACTTGTTTTATGTTTAGGGACATGATTATAAATGTTTCCAGAAGCTTGATCATAAGAGACAGAAGAGACTAACTTAGTTGTGCAGCAACATGTTAGAGATATAGCATAAGACTTTCCTAAACCACATTTTACCATGAGATTTTTATATATTTTTTTCAATGTGATTACTAATAGAGTGACAATGAAGTAAACCTCAATTATTTTCAAAGTTTTTAATGCATTACAAATTGATGAAAAAGGTGGTGAATTCTCCTGGTAGATTATGAGAATAGAAATCAGGTTGAAATGCTCTGTGTCCCTGGATGAAACATGATCCTACACCCTTAGAGTAGCTACTGTAGTTATGACATTCTTGACAGGGATGCTTTAATTTGATTTATCAACCATGGCATTATTCTTATATCAGTACAGTACAGTGCTGGCTTCAGAATCCTTTACAAATATGGATGGCTGTTTTACAGTTTAATAATAATTATGTACTGTACCTGTACTATACCTTATGAACTGATGTTCTGATAGTTTGATAGTACAGTAATGATACAGAAGCATAAATTTATCCAAACATAATTTATCTGTATTACTTCAGGGCATGTCTTGCCTCATGCGTTTAAAAGCGTTTGACGCATGCAGAATGTTCATCACTGTTTTATGGCCATTTTCCACGTTCAGTAGAAAACATGGTTATTAATGATCTACACATAGTTTACAGCAATGTTGAAGACATAACAATTCTCAGAACAGTTGCTGAAGAATTCTACATCTATGTTTGGTTATTCTTGAGACAATTGTCAGTTTTTTGCATAAGAAACAGAACTGTAAAAAACGAAGGTTGCACAAGGGAAATTATTGAAGTAGGGCTTCAGGAGAAGGAATATAAAAGTAGCAAATAAGACAATCAGTACAAAAAGAAGCAGTCTGGTATTCTTTGTAAGACATTGTGAAGTTTGAGGTTGTCTAAATATTGGTAAAGCTTATGATAAGACAACCCAGCTTCATATGAATGTGAAGGTAATGGACTTAAGATATTTGGTAACAACATTAGTTCCTTCCAGAAATCTATAGTTGAAGTTATGTTGAATGATTGTCTGTGTTGTGGGAATGTTGGGCAGGTGGTGAGTAGGTGGGCTGTAGTGTGTGGGGCAGTCTTGTATGGAAGGAATGGATTTGGGGTTAGTTGGATGTTGGGCAGTATTGACCTTGAGAAAAGGGTGGTCTCCTTAACATAGTCTGGTGAAATATACAGTACTCTTATTTCCTTAAGGAAACTTATCTGTAAATGTGGACTTCTGGTGGAGGTATATCTAGTATGCTGTTTAGTTGCAGTCTTAGGAGGGAGGTTGCTAAGTGGTTATGTTGGGAGGTGTAGATAAGATACTGTTGAGAATATGGGAGTAGTGTTAAGCTGTTGTGTATGTTTTGCCTGTGAGACAAAGGGTGATTTAATGTGAAATCACATAAGCACATGGGAAGTTGTGCCAAGACTATTCAGTGTGTGGTCTTTATGTGAAGATGGTCTTGTGTGGAGTTTATTCTTGTTTTGGGAAGTATGTGGCTAATGTTTGAACTGGCTCACATTAGAGAAGTTTATTGTGGTGTAGATAAATTTTCAGTTAGTGGTTTTGTTTATTACATTAAGCTGGTGTTTGCGAGTGTTTACTGTGGAGAATATATTGGGCTTTTGTGGTGATAAAATGTTGTGTAAATGTCCACTGAGATGCCCAGGATTTTTGGATGCATTTCTCACGACTTGACAGATGAATAATGTGGCATGTAGATGAACTAGACTCATATCTGTTGGGTTTGAGGAGTATTAGAGGAGATGTTAAGGGTAATACAGTACTGTCATGCAATTTGGAGTGAGACTTTGTTGTAGTATATGTGCATGTCCTGTTGAAGTTTGTTTATGGTTCTCAGAGTTTCAGTATGTTGAGAGGCTGTAATTGGGTCACCTGTGTACATTGGTTCTCAAAAAAAAATATTATTATTTATTTTGTGGTCTTAGGCTTTCTAAAAAATCCAGTTTTGTTGTTTTCATTTGTTGATTTAATTTGGGAATTGTTGAGGTTAGTGATGCCTGCTGTGTCTGCTGGTGTCAGGTGTGTGTGTTTTGTTATGAGGTTAGTGATGCCTGCTGTGTCTGCTGGTGTCAGGTGTGTGTGTTTTGTTATGAGGTTAGTGATGCCTGCTGTGTCTGCTGGTGTCAGGTGTGTGTGTTTTATGAGAAGTTTCTTTGCTTGTTCATTTTGTGGAGTTAGGATGTGAGTTACTTGCTTCTATTATTGTGTTGTTGAATTTGCTGTTGCTGCATCTTAAAATGGCAAATCCACTGTATTAGATTTTTAATGAGCACCCTATTATCATCTGTCATTGTCTAAATCTGGTTACGGAGTTAATGGTCGCTCGTAAGTAGTACAGTAGGGTGTCTCCTATTTTTTAATCTGCACGACCTCTGATCAATGTGGCACAAGATAAGCATATTTTCCAATAAAACTGGATTGTCAGAACATTAAGGTCAGTTTTCAAGAATTTTATATGTTTATGTTGGAACTGCATCACCAAGGCCGACCCTATGGCCTCAAAGTTGCAAAGGTGAGGATATGCAGACTGAAATGAGCAGCTAGTGACTGCAACAGGTAAGTAAATATAAAGTTTTGCTTTTTGTATTGAGATAATAATGTCAAAGACTAGAAAACATTATAGATGATAAATTAATGGACAATGGTGCATGGGAAGATAACTAATCAGAAGGTTGATGGCTGTCTGAACACACGTAGGTTGATGACGGTAAAGGAGCTGCTTCTTCACCCAACTGTTTCTTTTGGTTAAAAAAAAAGAATAATAATTATTGCAATAGGTGCACTTATGGTAGGGACACATTTTTTGCAAGAATTGTTACTGATGTAAATTATTGGCTTCAATTTCGTGCATAATTCGTGCAACTGCAGTAAGCATTTTGAAGGAAGAGAGACATTGTAAGAAATATGATATAACTTGTTAACTTGAACCTGGCAGACAACTGAATCACCGCATCATGGAGCTAGAGAGTGAGGTAGAGGAGGCCAAAGCTGCTGCAGCTGTAGCAACACCAATGGCAATGGCTGTAGCTTCCAGGACCTTTGATGGCTCCTCTGTTAGGCCAACTAGTGGTGAGTCCAGGAGGATAGCTGAGCTGGAGAGGAAGTTAGCTGAACAAAGTAAGTTATTTTGTTGTACCTGTCCTTTTATATGTGCTTCTGGTTACTTACTGTCCAAGTTACACAAACATTCATTAAATAATTCATCTCCCTACATGGACAACATATTCTGTGTTAGTTGGATTTACTCCACCATACAAAAGGTACAATTCTACATCAGAGCTCTGTAAAGCATTAACTTTCATGATCAAAAAATATTCTCCTATTTTAACTAATGATTTTTGCCTTGTATTTCTTCACTGATTTTACTCACTTCATTTGCATTAAAGAATACCATCAGCACTCTTGGCTCATGACTATTACATTCTATTTGTTAAGTTACACCTTTGTTTAGATCCTTAAGTATTTCTTAACCTAAATATAACTTATGATCATTCCCACTCATTAATTTATTACATAAACTACGGCATTATTTCAGCTGAAAAGGTGTGTTCGCTTGAGGAGAGTCTGTCGAAGAAGGAGAATGAAATGGGGGCCATGGAGGAGCGTTACAAGAAATACCTTGGTAAAGCGAAGTCAGTCATCAAGACACTTGACCCAAAGCACAACCCAGCACTTGTTCCTGACGTCTCCAATCTCAGGTCAACTATCTATGAGAAAGAACGAATCATTGAAAACTTAGAGGTAATATAATGGATGAAATACAGTAATTTAAAAATAATAGCTAGTTAGTGAAGCAATAAAAGATGTTGATAAATGATTTTTAAATTTATGATTTTCGCCATTTTGGGTGGTTAAGGTAAACACACAGCATGTACCAACTGAAAGGATATTTTGTAGACTGAATGAAACAGAATACTCCAAAATATAAGTTATTACAGACATGAATTATCTGAGGGCTGCATTTGGTATTAACAAATGAAGGGGGTGAGAGTGTGGAAAGTTATGGAAAATTGGAAATGGCAGGGAAGACAGTGAGTGTAAGTTATGGAGTGGTGGAAAAGGTGTTTGACTTAGATGGTGCGGGACATGGAGGAAGAATACAGAAGGAGAAGATGCTAAAGAGGGTGTAGAGTGACAGTGTAAGCAAAGCTGTTAGTTGGGTGGAGAGGGACACCACCTGTATCATGGGAGGTAAAGATTGAACAACACATAAGGGTGAACAAAGGAGACTTACTGTGATGGGGCAGCCTGTTGTTATCTCTGCCACCCCCCTTCCCCATTATGTAGTTCCCTGTGAGATTAAAGTATCTTAGACCAGACAGCTAACTTTAAATTCTTTGTTTAGTGGCGTATGTTACGTATTAAGCTATGTATTTGTTCTATTACAGCGTGAGTCAGAGAAATCCAAGATGGTCCGTGACATGGAAGAAAAGCTAATCACCACAGCCTTCTATAATTTTGTAAGTTATTTTTAAAAGTGTATGGGAAACTTTTACTAATTTAAAATAATGCCTTGCCTATTTTATATTCTGAAATCACCTAAGCTCTAATTTATCCATATTATTGCATCTTCCTTAGGTTAACATATGGGGTGTTTTCTTTTTCCTATCCAGGGAATATAAAGTAGCCCAAATGTAGTTAGAGATACTGTACCTTAACCCAATTGGAGACTTGAGTTTAGCCTTGTAGTCAGGTACAGTAGGTCTAGTGTGTAGTACAAAGTTTGTATCTATTGTACTAGAGTCCCACACTAAAGCTAACAAGTCTCACCTCATAGTTCATGTTCAAATATTGCCAAAATTGTGACCTCATTTTTTACATTATTTCTAGTTGACTTATACAAGAATCAGTGACAAATGTAATAATTTTCACACCAAAGTTGACTCCTTAACTTATTTTGGTTCAACTTTTTCTCAAGTACAAGTATATACAGTATGGTGACTTGCTTTTAATTTTATACTTTATGCTACGTTCAACATAAAAAAAAAGATTGATGTACAGTACAGAGTTTGCTTGAGAATATCTGACAAGGAAGCTGCTACTGTACTCATTCCTAATTAAATAAAATAGAATAAATACACAACTATGGGCCAAAAAAAAATCCAGTGTGGATTAGAGTAAATACTGCATGTAACCCAAGAAAATTCATTCCACTTTCAGGGAATGCAGATGCACCGGCAGATGATCAGCCAGCGTTTGTCTACCATGGATCAGGGTCACTCTTTCATGTCTCGCCAGCGACAGGCATCCACCAGACGTGTACCAATGAGCAACAGGTGGGACACACTTTTGCCAGTTAAATAAAAGTGTTGATAGTGCATGGACATGTTTAAGAAATAGATATAAAGATAATGACAAAATGTGTGAGTGGCTGAGAGAGGTGCATGGTGGTAATGCAAATGTAAAGGAAGATTGTGGTTGAACAGAGTGTAGACTTAAGGGTGTGTTAAGGATGTCATGATGAAAGAATCTGTGGAAATAGGCAGAGATCATAGTACAGTACTGTACATTCATTATATTTGTGTAGCAGAAGAGTCTGTTGGATATTACATTCTGTACTTAGTTTAAGTCAGTCAGCAGATGAATTATAGTACAGTCAACCCTCGCTTTACGCGGTCCCACATTCCGCGTTTCCACATTTACACGGTACCCTGCCGAAACCGGAATGCTCACATTCCGCGGTGCGTGTACCCCTTTACGCGGAGAGCGGCTGGCGAGCCGCGCCATTTTTGGATCCATCTCTCCCGCCCTCTCCCGCCATCCGCCATGTTGTGTAAGTGGCGCGAGCAGGGTACGCACAAGGTCGCCCAGTCATCAAAACATTACCGAGTTCTTCACCCGCCACGCACCACAGCCGGCCCAAGTCAGTGATAGTGATAATTATAGTGAGGATATCGACTTATATGGACTTTGAGGGGTTTGACAAAGAGGCCCTGCAAGCCTCTGTGGTGGATAGTGATACAAGTGATACAGGTGAGGGCCAATAATTTGCCCTCTGCCTCGGAACCAACCCCCCATCCCCGTGTGCCCAGCCATCTTTTCTACTAATGTAAGTGTTAAGAAACCTAATATTATTGATATTTCTCTTAATTATTAATTGTGTGTGCATACCATCATAAAATTAAGAAGTTATTTTTACTACAACGTAGGTATTGTGTCTGAAAAAGTGGAGTTTGGGGGTCGGCCCGGTCTCTATTTCAATTAATCCCATATGTTATGTTGTTCACTTTACGCGGTACCCTGTGGGTTGAATTAACCGCGTAAAGTGAGGGTTCACTGTACTGTATATAGCAAAAGAAAAAAAAATAATACACAGTATACTGTAAAGGTAAATAAGATCACGATTTTTTTTCTAGAAACTAGAGTTAATAAGTGGAAAACTGATTGACAGTAAGATATTGTAATAATGTAGAAATAAATTAATGAATGTTAAATTAGCGATAAATTAAAAAGGAAGTCATTAGAAACAGAATGGTTGATGAAAGACTGATTTAGAATGAATATCAATGTGTGTGTGAGAGTGAGGCATCCTATGAGGAGCCAAAAGTTCAGTGAAAGTAGTACTACTGTGTGTAAGTGTTAGTATCTGTATTGCTGAGAGAAACATAAGAGCTGTGAGAGATGGAGAAGGTATTGTATGAATCACACACGATAGGCTGATATACACAACAGTAAAAGATATATTCAAAACTACACAAAATTTGGTTTATGGTACCATAAGTGGAGGGAAGCATGTTGTTAAGAATTAATGGATGATGCTGAATAATTGAATGTGCAGGTATTTTAATAAACCAAGTTATTTAATGTTTATGCAATCACTTTGCTGTCCCTAATTATGTGGTTATAAAAGAGTGCAGCATAGTTAACAATTACAAGCAGTTAATATGCCTCAAGGGCATAGTTACATTTTTTTTTTAAATGGGTAAGTTATCAGTAAAATATATTCTTCCTTACAGTAGGATCATTTATGAAATACAGTACAGTATATACTGTAACCTAAAGCCAGTAGCAAGGTCATGAATAAACAGGTGTTCCTCCGTAAAGTAAAATGAAAATAAAAACAAGGCATCTGTACATGTACTCTACCCTGAGGTACTGTATATTACAGTACCTCACCTTACCTTACCTGAGACCCATCATTTCAAGAACCTCATTACCACTGGTCCATGAGGTTGTTATATAGGTGTATTTGAATTTGTCTGTGAGGAATGTTTTGGAAACTGTACAAGCACCGAGCAGATCACGATGTTATTAATTCAGAGCTCTGAATACATGTTGTGAAGTGACTGTCTCACTTGAATTAGTAATGAATATTGTTTTATTAACAAACACAAAAAGATTAGGATATACAGAAGTGAAGCCTTCATCTAAATTGGATATAAAGAATACCATATAATAATATAAGTAAAATACCTTGTAACACAGGAAAACAAACTTAGAAGAATACAAGACTTTTTTTGTACACACAGTAATTGTATTAAACAAGGATTGGAGTTTCCTGTCTGCCTCTCATCTTTCTTCACTCACAGTATCTCCTCTTGATAACTGAGGTTCTTGAGTTGTGTCAGACATTCAGTGAGGTGGGTTAGAGTAAAGCACATACTGTACCTAATGACCAAAGTTCCAGCACACCTGTCTGCTCTTGACTTTTCCATTACACGGAGTCCTCATTGTTTTTCGGGGATGCGTTTCTGATGACCTCAACTAACAACGAAGGGACAAATAACGGGGCCGACTGACCCATTGACTTGCATACAGTGTCATGTTGTGCATCATAGAACTATCACTTGCTGGGCATTTAGAGTCATAATAAAGATATGGGGACACTGTAACACAAATAAAACAGCTAGTACTGACACAACACACACACCGAGTGGGGAAAAAGCACGGCACCACTGCATTTGAATTTGTAATCGAGAAAATGTCCAATTCAGAAAAGTTGTGTGAAACAATTTGTTTAAATGTTTTGTGATGATTCTCTTCACTTTTTGAAGTGAAGATATTTAAAAATATTTTATAAATAATTGTTATACAAAATACAGTTATTAGATACTGTATAGTAAAATTTTATTTGTCAGTAAAATTTAATGACCAGTCAATGAATCGGATACAGCATTTCCACAAAGAACTATTGTATCATATGTTGGACAGATAGAAATATACAGTTGGACAAGCAGTGCCCATATGTTGTTAATATTAATATTTTTTAATTATTAAATAAATTACCTGTGTTTCAAACAACAAATTAACGAAACGACGAACAAAGGAGCGATTAACAAAGAGAATTGCCTGTACTGTAGTGTGTTTCCTTGAAGGTCGCCTGCCCAGTCATATCACAACCTTGGGACTGGCATGAGGCTATAGAGTACTGTACAATATTTCATTGATGGGTCTACAGTGTTAATACAATGAGAAAAACATCTTGTGTTTAGAGAGATGATTTTTCAATTGTACAGTTTTGCTTCATAATATAATTTCAGGCCTCTATATTATCGAATACTGTACAACAATATGCACGGCTTTCTACCCTGCCTTATTTCTGTGTACCACGTAATTTTTGCTATTTATATATTTTGACAATTAATATTAATTTAATTTTTAGCCTTGTCCCCTTATCATCTGAATGCAGGTTTTTTTTATATTCCTAAACAGTATTGTGAAAAAGACCAAGTATTATACTAATCCATGCATGAAGTAAATGGTGTTATCCCCTAAGAAGTTTTCTCCCTGTGTTTGAGTTACGTACAAGTTATATAATTTTTTTACAGTACAGTACCTCATTATCCTGGTTAGAATTTACTGTTACATTAGTACATTACTTTGTGACCATTCAAGCTTCAACAGCTTACTTTATGTCCTTAAGAGCATTTAATATTAAATTAATCATTACACAAGTCATCAATAATTACAATTTATGAGAACTACAACTGTGTGTGTGACTATAGTTCAGGCCTTCTTCATTTGATTCAGTCAAAAGCACTTTATCTAACATTTGTAACATGCTGAATACAACAGAGGCAGATTGCTGTACTGTGATTTTATTTTTATTTATTTTTTAATGTGTGTGTGATTCAGGGAAAATCTTTCCATAATGTGAAAGCCTCATACTAGCAAATCCATCACATATTACAGGAACATCTCTTAAATATGAGGAATCTCTTAACTGGATATTTCATATTTTTATAAGAAACTGATATGTGTGGGATTAATGACAGGTACTGATACATGTACAGTACTGATTATTGTACAAAGATGTAATAATGACAGATACTGATATTGATTACTGTACAAAGATGTAATAATGACAGATACTGATATTAATTACTGTACAAAGATGTAATCTCAAATAAAAAACTATGGGAATGTTTGCTTTATGTTTTTTCAGTGATTAAATTATACATACCATACATATATTGTTCCACGAAGTTAACCAAGTTTTTATAAACGTTTCAGTGAAATTTTTGAATATTAGCGGCATCGATTGTGTGGTTTCTGCCTCATCCCCTGCATGGTTAGTAACCTGCGCTTAGCAACCTTGCTTGTACCATCTGTTGATGAGGATGTGCATGAGTCTGCATGTATTGTATGTATGTATACTTGTGTAATATATATATATACCTATATATATATATATATATATATATATATATATATATATATATATATATATATATATATATATATATATATATATATATATATATATATATATATATATATATATATATATATATATTTAAATTTTGCATATGTGTGCAATGATTTTTGTTTGTCCTCATTAAATGTAAAAAATAACAAACATGATACAGACAGGAGACTTATTTTTTATGTTCATACACATGAAAAAAAATTTTACTTGATTTTTACAGTATTTGTTTAATCTTATTTTCACTACAGGTACAGTATCTCTTTTAGCAATAAAATAATTAAAATGCATTGGCCTTAGTAAAGATTGTTGTTCTGTTTTTATCCCCACCTCAAAGAGCAGGGGATATGACAATCTTGTTGAGAGAAGATGTGTGTGTATGTGGACATTTTTCTTCACATTTCCTCTAACTACAGTGCTTGGTTCTGTCTGAACACATAATTTCCCTCCATTCAGTATAATTCATTCTTGACATTGTTAAATATGTGTTCTACTCTGGTCTCCCTTCCACAATAAGGCCTTAAATCTAGTGTACCATTAGCTATATACAATACAGTACTTCCCACAAAATTTCAAAATGTCAAAGAAAACATAATTTCTCCAATGTGGCAAAAATTTTTAATACAGTACAATATTATACTCTACATTTTTGTTCATTACTTAATAAAAGTCATATGCATTACTTTTCATTAATAAAGTTAGGACTGCACACTGTACTTTATTATATTTTTATTTTCACTGTTATATGTAGATATGTATTCACTCCAGTGTACATGTACAATACAGTACTGTACTTAATACTGTATGTTGCATGCTCATTTAGCGTATTGACGTTTTTACGACAGTTTATCAAAATCCCAGTACCATTAGTTATAATTTTGTACGTCATGCATGATGAATACAGGTGTAGTTTAACCCATTATATTTTTATCATCAAATATAGTTTTTATGGAGGTATTATTGTTTGTGTTAAATGAACTGACAGTAAAATGAGTTAACTAGTGTGAAGTGAAGTGCATCTAGACTGTGTTAAGCTGGGGGGAAATTCTTGAGGTAGTGGAGTAGGGAGATACTGGTTTGACTACTGTACTACACTGTGCCCCCCCCCCCCTCCGCCATAGTAATGTTTGTTTGTAGGAAACTGTAGTTAACACCGAAAGATATATTAAGGTTTTGAAAGGTGTCGGTATGACTGATGTAAACACTGACCTTAAGCCGGGTTCAGTAACAGTTACCCTTTCTGGAAAAATGCTACAATTAGGTCAAACTTGTTTAAGATTGCTGGGAATTAAGTGACCGAGACCTACCAGTAAGGTAAAGTGGAAATCTGATGCTAGTGGTGGAGCAGAGTTAGAGGTTGACATTTTATACCTGATGTATAAGACGACCCCTAGTTTTGAACACAAAAGTTGGAGCTTCAAAAGTCGACTTATAGGCCATAATATATTGTAATAAGTAATTTTCATTCATTACCAAAAGAATTTTCATTAACAAATTGCCATTGTAAGAAGCATCTAGAAGCATCCCGCCTTCTGTGACGCTATGCCAAGGCAGCTGCACAACCTCTTATTCCTACTTGCGTGACATACAGTAGTTATGTTTACTCGATCACATTATACAGTGTACCCAATTCACATATGCGTTGTAAAAAAATGTGTTCCTTAATACATTCATCGCGTTATAACCAATTTGCATTATGAAAAACGGGTTATAGGAGAAATGACTGTATTTATATTCTGATATTTTAAGGGATAATAACTTTTCTGTGCTGATATTTCATAATTTCTGCGCTTGGAGAAACAAAATGCAAAAATTGGCATGTGAAATGCATTGGTAATAAAAGTATCATAACAGGAACACAAATGTGATGAACACATTCAGCTAGATAAACTCCTTGCCAAGTGACATTGGTGAAGGATATGTCTTAAACTTTTTTTTTTTTTTTTATGTTACCAGTTTGTTTCACAAGTTAATTTTTGCTTCCCCTAAGTGCAGAAACTATTAGAGACCAACACATAATACAGTTGTTATTATCCCTTAAAATATCAGAATATGAATACAATAGATTAAATAGTAATGAACTGTAGTTACTCTTTGCATGCTCGTCTGTCAGCCAATCAGCTGCCTTGCTACAAACTGACCCTAGACCTCGGCTGTAAGGTTCGAGTGAAGGGGATGGACATCCAGTAAGCAGCAATATGCATAAATTGGTAAAGTAATTGAAGTAAACCAGATTTGAGGCCTTGTTGTAAAAGGGGAGTACCATTGAGGAACACATGTTTTGTAGTAATAATAGTGAATGACAACAAATGAAGGAAGAGTACATAATATACATGTGTGTGTGTAGGGAGTTACTCTTGATTTCAGTCACCATTAGATTAAACAGAAAAGGCTTGAAAGATTTTAAAAATTAATTACATTTATGTATATGTATACATAAGCTTACATGTACAGGTAGACCACCTCATATCCGGCAATCAGTAATCCGGTTACACCGCTGGTTTGGACATAATTTGGCCACCGTAATTTCAAATTTCACACTGGTCTCATCGCCAACCCGCCGCTACTGTTTTGGTGGTGCCACTAGCAGACTCCGCTGTTGGCGTGGTGTTTGAGGAGCGGCAAGTTATTCCTCTGTGTTTTTCTTCATTTGTTATTATAAACTGCTCTTATTTAACAGCAACATGGGATAAAGTTTCGTGCAGTGTGTGGTGAAAAAAGATCGGCGGGCAAGGAAGCAGCTGCTGCGTTTGTGGAGGAGTTCGCTAAGTTAGTTTCGGATGAAAATGTAAGTCCCGAACAGGTCTACAATGCAGACAAAACTTGTACTATTTACAGAGTATTTTAAAGGTAGGGTGAGGTGGTTATGAAGTGCGTTAGAGGTGTTTATTTATTTAATCCTAACCTAACCACCTGTGGTTCGGCAAAATCACTAATCCGTCACTGCTCAGGTCCCAATCAGTCCGGATTTGAGATGGTCAACCTGTATGTGTATGTCCTTATGTCACATGGGGCACAAGTACAGTTACTGAATTTGATGTAAGGCTATTAAACTGATAATAGTATCATTTAATATTTTTTAATATTTACTATTAAGCAAATCTGAACTCTGTGAGCATGAGAGCCTTTATTTTCAGTATGTATGTACAGTAGCTAAAACAACTATCTGTGCATACTTTGTGGAAAACAATATGAGACCATGGACCATAAATTTTGGTATATGAGGGCTGTCGCTAGTCACACTTAAATTTCGGAGTGTATCGACCCCCACCTGCACAGATAGTTGTTTTAGCTACTGTACATAATGCTAACTGATCTTATATGCATAGCCACTTGCTACTCTACATAGGATTACTGTACCTTGCTAAACCTGCTTAAGATACCTCAAGTGTAAACTTTACCTTACAGTGACCTAATCCTGTTTTTGTTGCCATCTTGCTGAGAAAAGATGGAAACTTTGTCTTAGTTGTCCTCCAATAAACATTTTCTTAATTTCCAGGCACACTCCGTCCAGCAGTCAGTTCGAAGATATGAGGATCAGCTGACTTTCACTTGTAGAGGATAGCCTATACACACCAGTAAACTTATATCTAGTTTGAGAGTACATGACCTAAATCTGAACTTAAAGATCTAATCTATTTTTTTTTTATCTACGATATAAATGTATTCGTTGCAATGTTATTTTTTTCTACAAATTGCAGTAACTACAACTCAAGTTCTCAGATGTACCTGATACAAGAACAGGCATCATTAAAATTGAGATGGAAGCATATACAGTACTGCTTAAAATTTGAGATTTAGGTCCTGAATTCACAATCAGCAGCACCATAGGAAAATATTATTGAGTGAATTGTTATTTTTATTTCTACTCACAATACATATGAAGGTTACTGAGATTAAAGCTTTAAACTTTTATGGAATTTAAAAATACAAGGTATTAATTTTAGTGAAAGACAAAATCTTAAGTTGTCTTGTATGTTTTTTTAATTAACTGGATTACTTCCTGTTGAATAAAACTTATAACTTTGTTGAAGTAACCTTCATAGCTTCTCAGAGTATACCACCTGTTAGGTTTGCACAGTACACTGTTGTCGTATGTAGAACATGGACAATAAAGAATTTCAGTTTAGATAATGAGCACAAATTCAGTAATGATTCCCAACATTTTTAATACTAACCACTGCTATGACTGCCAATTAATGTTGTCTTATAATACAATACAAATACTGTACTGTAGTCATAAAATGTGCACCATGAATTTTCACCTACATCTTAGAAAAAATAGTGAAGAATGAGCTGAAAATGCTTCCTAGAATAGTTGGCCACTTTTTCAAATGAGATCTGTAGATGACTGAATCACTGAAAAGCAGATTTTGTTGTTCAGTAAACCAAGTTCTACTTTTTTGTTAGTCTATGCAAACTTTAGCCCTTGCACTCCTTAGCACAAAATAATTAAACCTTCATCTTTAGATGGCCTGCACTTCAGTTATTCTAATAACTGTCAGACCTTAAGGTTTGCCCCATGTGTACTCATATCTTCCTTGACACACTCCTATTTTTAATTTTTGGTCTAACCAGAGGTCTGCATCCTTACACTTCACTTGGCAAAACTCTTCGTAGTCCATTCTTGAACATGGTCTGTTCACCTTGTGTTTGATTTGATGACATCAGTAAATCGTGGTTGACCTGTGACTGGTGTCAGATTTTGATTCTCTTCATACAGATATTCTTCTCAAAATAAAGTTTGGGTACATTAATCTTTGCTCAACTACCAGTAGGTTTCAGTCCATCTAAAGTTGATAACCATGTTTCACAGCTGTATGTAACTACAGTACTGGTCTTATACTGTTATACACTCATAGCTTTTGACATTTGATATATCTTCCTATTTGGCAACACTACCAGAAGATGATGTTTGTTGCCAGCAGGGATTCATGCCAGCATTCCCCTTTGTATCTTATTCTTTGGTGTTAACAGAGAGAAACAAGTACTTGAAGATTGTGTCCTGCTCAGTATTAAAGTAATTTATTTACAGGTGTCAGTAAGCTTCTCCCCCCTCAAATCACTTTGCAATATTTTGCTTGTTGTTTGTGTTTACTTCCACTCCAGGTTTTCAAGGCCATTTGTTGAAATGGTTGGAAGTGGTGTGTTATTCCAGAGACATCTCTGTTTATTGTATCTATATTGTTTGTAATTAGCTAAGTTCTTAATATTGGTGTCTGTGAGCCACAACTCATTTTAATATTAAACAACACAAATGACAGCTGCCATATTCTACTCATTGGAAGTACAGTGAAACTTTATGCATTCAGACTACTTGGTTGAGTAAGCAGATACATTCATTTGAATTAAGGAGTAAAATTTGTTGTGCAGGACAGGATAAGATGAGAGGTTGGCAGTGACGAATGGTAGGCAGGGCCTATTGGAGCACAACTTCCCCCTGGATTTGCCTATGCAACATCCAGTATTACACATTTAACACAATTAAAATATTTAAAGTGAGCCCAAGATTTTGTGCTCATCATTGCTCCAAGTAGAGATTAGGCTCAAACTGCATCCTCTAACTACTAGACTACACTTGCATGAGTGGAAGAGGCTTGTGTGGTTACCATGCGAGAGATTTTACTGTTCATGCTAATCTAACAAAGGTTTAATTATCAGGAGGGGTTGCTCAGAATTTTTAAAATTTTATAAATTTGTATTACTGGGTAAGGTTTCTCAGTATTTCCTAGCTGTACAACACAGAATTCACTGGTCTCATAATATACTTTTCCTATATACTGTACTGTATTCATGAATTTCCTCAGCATAGTAAATGGCACTCTCCAAATAAGTTTTTATTAATGATGTGTGTACTGTATACTGTATTATCAATAGCCTCTTGAAGTCACTGAACAGGCACTATGATGTTTGATCATAATTCCAGTACCTATACTTGGAGATTTCCAACTGCTGTCATTTGGTGAAAACTTTAGCACTGATGAATCTGTTCTCTCAGAAGCCACAGTGGTGCTTGCCTATTACCTCATCAGTGAAAGGTTCCAGTCTTTATGGTAGAATTTTTGCAAGTACTGTACCTTACAGTACTTTAGAGATGCAAACAGAGAAAATTCTGTTGTAGCTGTTGAAATTTGTTTTATCTTCTGCCCCAGGCTTCAGGTGTTTTATTTTCTTTACTTGTTTTATCTCATAGATTTTCTACTCTAACTGTTCTTCCCTGCTTGATTAGCTCTGTGGGGGAAGTTATCAGGGTTCAATGTGATATTTGTTTAGGCTTTTATTGGTGTCTCCTGCACAGTTGGTTCTGCAGTCAGCCTTATAGTCCTGTCAGCTGAATTTATGGGTCAGATGTATTCAAGAAGCTTACAGAAATAGTCTTCCCAGCAGTGTGTTTTTAAAAGACATACATATTAAAATTGTGATATAAAAAGTAATAAGAATGATAGAAACAACTTGGGAATCATATGATCTTCTGTTGATGAAGGAAAGAAATATAATATTGGTGATAGAAAGATAACCCTTACTCATAATAGATGCCTGTGTAAATTTGGGATTGTAATGTTACTTCAGAAATATATTAACATAGTATATTATAAATAAGGTTATGAGCAGTGTGAGCTGCTTCATAGTTAGTGCCTACCTTCAAACTTTGTTTTAATAACTGACAACAATATGTATATTGTAATAAGGAATATAGGCTATTAATCACTTTACTCCTATATTAGGTTTTCTAGGTTCCTCATGTGTTTTAGAGCTTTAAGTGCTGTACAAGGTATACTTCACAAGTTTTAAAGATTTTCTTGAACTTATGACAAATTTTGTTGGGGAAATAAAGTGACTGTTTTCAACTTTGTTTACTTATATACTGAATGTACCTTGTGATGCTGTGAGGTAATAACAGACTTGTTACGTGGGAAGCGTAGTTTCATATACAGTATATATTGGAGTTATGACAATTTGCGGGTTAAATATCAGAAGACTGTGAATTGTAGTTTAATTGATTTAATCCCTAAAGGGCTTAGACAATTATTATTGTCCAATAAAAACATCCTGTGTGACCTGAGGCGAGAATAATCGTCCCTCCCTAAATCACTTAAATTTTTTCTGGAATGTGCAAGAACCATCTAGCTATTATTATTGAAGTGTTTGGCATTTCTCCAGGCAATAGGGAGAAGAATGTATACAGTATGTTGCATCTGGTAAAGAAAAAAAAAAAAATTGTGGAAAAACTATTTCAATGTCTCAAACTACACGTATCCGAGTATGCGACTCCCACTTATACACAGTTGAACACCCCCCGATCCATCCTTACATGTGGGATTCGCTCTTGCGTGAGCCAACCCACCCAGCATCTCTCGTTAACTTCAGCATCTTTCACGTGAGAATCGAGTCTACCCATGCAGCGTCCCTCTTATCTATCATATAAATCATTTAAACACTTACCGTATCTATTTAATTATCCACTTAGATGGTGCAGCTGGTTGGACTTATTGCCAGAAGGGGCTGCCTAAATAAATTATAACCCTAATAATCAATCTCTCTTGAGATGACGCCAGCCAATAAGAATCTAGTGTGAGCCTCTGCCATATTGTTTCATGTTTACATCATCTTAATTGCTGGCTATTCTGCTGCCCTCTGGTGTATTTTGTTATTAATATTTTTAAATATTAGTTTCCTCAGATTGTGATAATCACCCAATGGTGTCAGGATATTCATGGAAACAGGAGGAATGTGGAAGCTGGTTTGGTGTGACAAAGAGAAAAAACAGATGTGAGGCATACATTAGTTGCAAAACTAAATAACCTATTGCTTGTGGCTGCTTCAGTAATGGAGGCATGGACAAAGATTATGGTTATTTTCAACAAGTTTTGGGTTATAGGCAACTTCAACCAGCAAAAAGCCTCTCTTTCTAAGCTTGTGAGTTCAACACAGGTAAACTCAATTTATGCTTTACTCTCCTTATTTAATGCTTTTTTTTCTTGCTTGACAGGTGTGCACAACAGAGATATATCAATAGTAGATGGGAGTTTGGGGGAGATGGCTGGTCCCTTATCCTCCAAGCTTGTTATAGTCTTTTGGGATTAATTACTTCAGTAACCGTTGATTCACTAACCAGTAACTTTTCACCGTCCTTATATGCGTCGGTTATTGGGGTATGCCTGTAGTATGGTAACCAACATTTTAATATAGGATAATGAAAATTATGTAACTGTAAGAAATTTATTGGGGAAACAAAATATTGTCTGGTAATAATGTACAACATCATGCAGTATTTTGTCAACACTATTTCTGCCAAAATCCTGCATTAACATATCACATGTTTCATAAAGCTTGTGATAAGCTTTAGTTAACACAGTACAGCACTATCAAAATATTAATGAATAAAAATACTGTATGAAACTACACCATCATTCATGGCAGAATTATTTTAATGTATATTGGGGGCGGTGATCTTCCACGAATGTTCTCTTATGGTACATTGACATCTCGTTACCACTTGCTACTATTTTAAATAAAATAAAGCCATTGATGAAATACTGACAAGAATTATATGATGTGCCCTTAAATCCCTCATCAATAAGTATTACAGTATGTTCAGAATCCCTTACCCTCCCTCCTGCCCCTCCTAAATAAAGATATACTGTACTGTAATTTGTAAAATAAGAATGGGTGTAGTGTTAACTGTCATGTTCACACTTCCAGTATTGTGGGTGCCACCAAGGGTAAACCCGGACATCACGCACAGGTTCCAATATTATCTGAAATATTAAAAAATAATTTCACTTGTAGAAAATAATTTGCTAACGCTAAAAACTATGAAGTGCTGTTTATCTGTGTGATGCATGTAATTTAGTGAAACAATTTTTTTAAAAGAATACAGAGATTCTATGGTACTGTCACATATAGCCACCTGTAGTAATCCCATCCAACTCTGATTATCATATATTTAAGCCCATAACTCTTACAGCTTGATTCAGTACAGTACTGTTCTTTGTTAAGCTATGGGATGTTATTGCCTCCCATGTACTTAATACAGTAACTCACTCCAATTCTTATAACATCAAAGATTTAGAAAAGGGGAATTATAATACTGTATTACCTGGGAAACTGTAAAAGGTCCAGTGTTTGTGTGTAAGTGCACACATCTGACAATTCTTAGCAACAAATTGGTTTCTGCTAGCTGACATTTTTCGCCCTAATACAGTGGTACAATATGCAGTTTCCTACATTTGATGTCAATTTTATTTATTCCTGCTATACATATCTGATAACATTCTGTTCTTTATTACCTATACTGTATAGTAGATCTGGAAGGTCAATGAGGGTTCACTTGCTTCCTAGCTTCACATTTGTTCCCTGTATCTGCATACTGTAGTTATTAACAACAAATACAAACTGTAATACATTGACATGCACAAGCAAAACTAAATTTACCTCAGTAGTTGGGACTTGATATTTACGGGAGGTCCCTGAAGAAGTACTAGAGAGTAGGTGCTCAGGGACAAAGGAGAGACGTAAACGATGATTGCACATGTTTGAAGTCACCCCAAGTCCAGCATGGTGCAGGTACTCCCCAATTACCATGGCTTCTCCACACATTGCACTGCTTGTTGCCTGTGAATATCGAGGAAAATACACTCAATTTTCACTACTGTACTGTAAATGTTTAAGCAGATTGCTGGAAGAGAATTTTGGGGATCAAGGGTTTTATACAATGTAATCATTAAGTAAATGGGATAATCATTTATGACTGATGAAATGAATACAGATATGCTTAGAGATTAACTGTGGCTGTATAATGCAAGCAATTTCACCTATGAGAGCCAGGATTCAAACCCAGACTAACAAGGTTGGCAGTCAAGCAGCTATCCACTGGACCACGATGGGCTAAAAGCTGTATCCATAGCTACTCACTTGTAGCTCAAGGTCCCATGCCCATGCTCTCAGGGAAGCATGTGTTGGCAGGCTGCCCTAACCCATCAGGTACATGTTTAGACAAACAAAAAACCTCCAAAATGTGTTAACAAAACAGAAATGAGCTCTCAAAAGTACAGTATATAGTATAGAAAGAGGCCACTAACCTCTAGAATGTAGCACCCATTCTCAGGGTTGAAGTTGACCAATGAATCTTGTTTATTATTATTCCGTCTACTTCTTAAATAATTCCTATTTTGTCTTGGCTGAACAAATTTGTAAAAATATTTGTGATGAGTACCAAGTCTCTGTAAGGAAAAAACCATCATTAATTTGTGGTACTGTATTTCAAAATACAGTAAACCCCAATTTACAAAAGGGTTCTATTCCGGAAAAAAAACTCGTAAATCAGAGCACATTTTCCCATATACTCCCATTACAAAACCTATGATACATTCCTACAAAAATAAAAATTAAATTTCCCAAAATTTTTTTAAAATTTTACAAAACAGTTTTAATGAAAAAAAATGATATACACAATGATTATAAGCCAATAATAAACATAAGTGAAATAAATACAGTACCTGTACAGTACTGTACAATAATAAGATTAAGCATCCTAAAGCTACCTAGGGGTAGGGGGGGGGGGTTAGGTTAGGGTGGTTATCTTAAAAGTAAAATAAGCTGGAGGCTATTCTTCAGGTGATTCATCCTAAGCCTTAAGGGTTTAGAGAACACACATAAGACCTCTTACATGCCATTGAAGTACACACTGGGAACGCAGCAATTGCGTAGGGTCAGCAGTCAGAGGTTTTTCTGCTGCTATGTGAGTAGAGAACGGAGTGTACATGTAAAACAAGGATCGAATCACTGCTGCTCGAAGGCCCTTGGTGTAATTCATGTTCCAATGTACTAGTTCTTCTGGAAGACCAGCAACCCACTTGCAGTGCCTATAGAGATAAACATTACAGTAATTAGATACAGTATGATGCTTTTATTTATACAGTATATATATATATATATATATATATATATATATATATATATATATATATATATATATATATATATATATATATATATATATATATATATATATAGTAAAGAAGGGTGTTTATTGCAGAAAATGTAGTATGTAAAAGTGAAATGGGGATAATATTTTGAATAACCTACTGTAATTGGAGAATGAGGCAGAATTATCTTGTTTCCAATAAAAATAGCATGGGAGGAGCCAAGATTGATTGTAAGTACTGTATGGCCCAGAATGTTAAGGGAAGGAATCTAGGTGCAAGTAGTAGCAAAGGAAAACTGTGCTGGAGAGCAGAATGTGGCATGAATATGACGCAATGAATAAGAAAAACAAATCAGAGGGAGATGCAGAAGTGAATGGAGTGCTGAGTAGCGAGGCAGTTAAGTGTTTGCTTAGGTGGGATGGACATACTAAAAGAAAAAGAAGTAAAATATTGGTAAGAGAATGCATTATACACAAGCATGATAGAAGGACGGGGAAAGACTGAAAAGGGTAAAGCAGGTACAAATGAAAAAGAGTGGGAAGTGATGGTGAATGAACATGTCATAAAGCAAGGCATCAATGGTTTTGGGGGGACAGGGATGATCCATCAAGTGACAAAGGTAAACCAGAACAAAAGGATCATAGTAAGATGAGCACCTCAACTTATTTCACATGATAATTAAACACCTTAATGTTTTCTGATGGGTCAGGTTAGGTTTGCATTAGGGTGCTTAGTCTTACAATTAAATTAAAATAAGATAGGCTAATCTTGATGTGATCCAAAGAGGTATTGTTGTGAAAGGTGGTCAGTACAGCTGTATAGGTAAATACATCTGTTACGGTGGCCAGAAGGATAGAATGACAGTGAATGAGGGAAAAGTTATTAAATTACCTTCTATAAACAGTGAACCAAAATCGGGCAGTTGTAGTCACGTAGAATGTGGCCTGACATATAGCAGTAAACCTTCCCACATCCTCTGGTCGTATGTATTCACTGAAATAAAACCAATAACAAATGAGAAACTGACATACTGTAATGCTAGGTACTCTTTTAATTTTGATGAAATATATTGTCATCGACTAATCAAAAGTATATTTATACTTTTATATATTTAATACATCTATGTACTGTAATAAGATTTAACATGGTTATACCAAACATTACTATATAACATCCTCCAACTATAAGTGAAAATTAATATTAGCCAAAGAAACTTGCAGTATGTTGACCCCTTTAAGGTAATCCAAAGGTATATTTCAGAAGATTTACTCATCTCCAAACCTTCATTGCTTACCTTATCATAAACCAAAAGTCTAAAGGATAATTTATGCCCTCACCATCATCTGAAATTTCATTTGAGGTCTTTTTCTTCCGACCTGAAATAATAAATGAAAATTAACATGGCCCACTAAATGCCCACGACAGATAATTGTGTTTTATTACAATACTGTACTAACACAAGAGTTGTCACAAGATATTATACACTGCCTTTCCAACATTTATTTGTAACTCCTATACTCGTGCAACATCTCATCATCTTAGTCTGTTCATGTAATGTATAATCAGCCTCTACTTTTGTCTCACTGAAAGGTGCATTACACACACACACACCGGCTCTCTGCACAAAATTGTTGTTGTTTGTCTCCACACCACCAGAGACAAGTTCGTCGTCGTCTTTTTCGTCCCATGCTTTCTCATCTTCCTTCGTTTCTAATGATTTTACTGTCAGGAAGAAAGAACATTTTACTGATAGAAGAATGAAGGCTTTATTGTTAGAAGAATGAAGATTTTTACTATTAGGAAGAATGAAGAGTTTCCTATGAGAAGAATAAAGATTTTACTGTTAGAAGAATGAAGAGTTTACTGTTAGGAAGAACAAAAGTTTTTATGAGAAGAATAAAGATTTTACTGTTAGAAGAATGAAGAGTTTACTGTTAGGAAGAACAAAAGTTTTTACAGAAGGAAGAATGATTATTTCTATGGTACACTATACCCAGTAATATAAAATCATGTCTCCAAAGCAAAAATATACAAAATTCACTATAAATGCAGCAACAAGCATGATCAACTAACATCAGTCACTTCACCGGCTACAAAAAAAAAAAAAAAAGGAAAAAATATTTGCATCGTACTGCTAAGAAGACTTCAGACCAAAATTTACCCAAAGCACAGTACTGTATACTTGAATGTTGGCCATCAGGCACTCTTATCTATTACTATTTATCTGTACAGTCAACCTAAAAAAAAAACAAACCTTCATCTACAACTTTCTTCATACTAGTCTTCTTAGGACGAAATGTCTGCTGAGTGTCACTATTGGCAAAATCGTTCACAGTAATATCTGCAACATGCAAATAAGTCAAAGCTCAATATTAGCACACATTCACTTCACAAAGTCATACACAGATGACAGAATTTTACATAAGTAAAAAAAATAATAAGTTACAGTGGGTATGTGTTGTTTCTGAAAAGAAGAGAAACCAACAATGCAAGCAAACGCTACTAAGCCAGGATTTACAAATGGAACATAACAGCCAAGACAGAAGGGTGCAGTACACTGGTGGCAGGAAGGATGTGTTCTGTGAGAGCATATATATATAATATATATATTATATATACAGTATATATATATATATTATATATATATAATATAAATATATATATATATATATATATATATATATATATATATATATCATGTAAATCCGGCATTGGATAAGATAAAATCTTGATAAAATCACCGCAGGAGAATGGAAACAACGGGTATATATATATATATATATATATTATGGTTGCAGTCTTAAGCACAGTACAGTTTATTACAATACCAAACCTGATTTAGTTCAAACTGTTCAAGTTAAAGAAGACTGAAGACAAAAATGACTGATGCCTTCATCCAGAATAGTTGTAGCACATCCTGATGTCTCACTAAATGTTTGAGGCTGATACAGTTTAACACAAAGTAAACTCACCTGCACAAGGTGTCAATGAAGTTCTGGTCTTCTCTTTCTTTTTACAGTTTCTTTTTTTCTTTGGCATGTCTCTTCCAGCACTAGACTGTGATGACATTACTGTACTGTACTATACTACGTACTACAGTTATTTAGCTCAAAGTGGAAAAAATTGAAAAAAAGATTAAACAATGTTTAACTCATTAATCTAGAACATTAAAAGTAAAAACTGAGTATTTTAAAATACAGTATACAGTTCAGTGGTCCTTCAGTTAACGGACGGTTCGGTTAACGAAATTTTGGTTAACGAATTAGCTCCCATAAGGATTTTCAGTTCAATTAACGAACAAAACTTCGATTAACGAAATCTTTACGACAAACACGTTTTGTTGTGCGCATCAGCTGATTGGCTAGTCCGCCAATACAGTAATCGGTTCTATGTTTACACCCGTTTCCAGTGGGGTAAATATCAAGAAGGTTGTGCTCTTTAATATTTTTGCATTTTTATATTGAAATTATAAGTCATTTTAAAATTTACTTATATTGATATTATATGCAGTACAGTGAGTTCTGCTATAACGCGTGTTTTGATAACGCGAATTTGCTCTAACGCGATTTATGAATTCGGAACAATATTTGTATAACGCGATCGCTTGTTTGCTATAACGCGATTTTTGCTTACTATTTCTCCAATTTTGTGGTATTAACTGTGAATATGGTAAAGAAGAATATCTCCAAAAAGCATTCTGATGATAGAATTCCCGGTGATTATCGTAAAAGAAAGGATATAACACTTGAAGAGAAGCTTGATGTTATCAACCTCAAAATCACCCTTCTCCCCATCAAGTTACATTCATATTTTTTCAAGGTAAAGTGTTAAATTTACTGTATGATTTCATTATTAGATATGAATGTAACATTTATTTAGACTGTGCTATCCTTTGTGTTAGGCTAACTACTAAATTTTTTTCGATTTCGAGTAATCTGCACCTAACCCTATTTTCTCCATAAGCCCTGTTATTTCTATTACGCGATTTTCTATAACACGATATTTTACAAGAACACAATTATCGCGTTATAGCAGAACTACCTGTACAGGGAACTAATTTTTTGTGTACCCATCAGCGGCTTGACTCACCCACCAAAGCGTCTCTGTTTAACTTTGTGTACAGTGGAGGAAACATCGTGTTTGTTGGTCTCTTGAATACAGAGTATTTTTATGTTTTTACATTAAAATTATTGGCCATTCTGAAATTTAGTTAACATATTGATAATATATAGCGCAGTGCAGTATTGATTTAAATAAAATAATCTTTAATTACAGCTAGTGAACTTAAAATTTAATTGGTGAAATTACTGCATCAAGCATGGGTCCAACATTCTACATACACACCTCAAAGTAATTGTACTGTACTGCATTTTGTTTATACTTTGAATGTACTCTTCTGTGAGTTGGAACCATTCAATTGTTTAAAGATCGCGGCATTGTTCCTTTACATAGAGACTGTTCATTTATTTTCTTACATTACTGTATTTTCATCAGAGTTCTAATTTGATAATCATTTATTGTGGAACCCTCCAACATAGTAGTTCACTCCGTCGCCCAGGCTCCTTAGAGCTGATGCGCCCGGATCATCTCACATCCAGAAAGTGCCTCAAATTTCACCATATCATAGCAAGTTGTTTCTGTTTAATATACCGGGGGGTCCGTGGGGCTCTGCCCCCAGGTAAGGTTGGGTAGGTTTGTTTGGTTAGGTTGGTTAGGTCTGTTTTTCATACCCACAA